TTGCCCAGAGAGGTTGTGGAGTCTCCCTCACTGGAAATACTCAAGAACCTTCTGGATGCCAATCCTGCACCAGGATGACCCTGCTTGAGCAGGGATGTTTGACCAGATGACCCACTGTGGTCCCTTCCAACCCGATACATTTTGTTATTCTGTGATTCTGGTTCTGTGATTAAAGTCCTTCTAGATTTAAGCATGCATATAAATGTTCTATGGCAAACGCTCAGGATTATTCATGACAGTAAAGAGACGACTTTTTGTTAGAATGGAGTGGGTAGGAGTTAATTCACATTAACCTACAAAGATATTTCTAAAACTAACCCATGATACATTGATGTTTCTCTGATTTTCAGTGTCACTGAGGTACTTTTAAAACTGCTGCCATTGTTATTCTCAAAAACATTAAAGTTAGCTGTTGCCAAATGAGAATAGGAACACTTTCCTAAAATTTTTATAGTAAGATGTTTCATGTGTTCCACAGGGAAAATCCATCCAACATTCAAAAACACTGATTGTGTATTCAGATTTATTTGGGTGATTACACAGTGACTGTTTACCTTCATGTTGGTATGTGGTATGTGCATTCATCACTGCCATCATTTAACTCTGCCCTCTAGCCTGGGCAGCCAGGAACCTTGAATTCCATTCCATGCCCTCATCATCTGGTTTGTCCATACTTGTGCATGTCTTCCAGTCCCAATAACAAGAGCTTTTCTGTAGCTCAATTAAAATAGAAGTTTTTTTTCTTCATTTGATGGACCACCACCCTTCATTGCATCAGATAAAATCACTTATCTTGCCAGTGTACTCACTAGTGTCATTGCAATTCCTTGTGTAATAAGCCTTAATCAGCAGCAGTAGATGTTAGAATCTGATTCTTTCAGATTTCCCTAGATTGGAACTTCTTTCTTTACTAAAACATTAAATATGCTTAAAGTAAGACATTCAGGGTGGTTTTCATGTAGGAAAAAGAATTAAATAAGAAAACTACAGCACCTTGATCTGTGTCTAATACTGCAATTTCCAAAAAGTACCATTCCATAGATAGACTATAGTCTTTGGTCTGTGTTTAACAAATATCAAGGAATCATCCAGATCTAGAGACAATTGCACAAATATGGAAGATGGAATGGTTCAGTACAGTGATTTACTGAAGATTAGATAAAGTTAGATAAAATTATGCTCAGTCATAGAAATAAAATCTTTCCTTAGACATTCTTCTGCATTGTTATTTACTACCAAGGATTATTCCCATAAACACTCCAGGACCACAAATTTTCTCTAATAAACAACATAAAGTCTTCCTCCCTTTGACCCCCTCAGCTGGCCAGTCATTGCAGAGCCCTTCTCTGGGTGTCTGACCATTCCAAAGACACTCTTTAAAGACCTTCATTGCCTGGCAGCCTGGACTCTGCTCTGGGTGCTGGGGGCAGGCAGTCTCCTGCAGCAGTGCTCAGCCTCCTGGCCTCTCCATGGAATCTGGGCACAGCACAGGAATCGTGAGCAGCACCACTGGGAGGAGCTGCTCAGGGAGCCAGAGCACGGTGCACTCCACAGGGGCACTGTACGCTCCATGGCAGCACTGTGCACTCCATGGGAACATTGCACACTCCACAGGGGCACTGTGCACTCCATGGGAACATTGCACACTCCATGGCAGCACTGTGCACTCCATGGGAACATTGCACACTCCATGGCAGCACTGTGCCCTCCATGGGAACATTGCACACTCCATGGCAGCACTGTGCACTCCATAAGAACACTGTACACTCCATGGCAGCACTGTGCACTCCACAGGGGCACTGTGTACTCCATAGAGGCACTGTGCACTCCAGGGGAGTGGTGGATGGGCAGGAGCTGCCCCAAGGGCTCATCACAGCAAGGCCTCCCCCATGGAATCTCAGGAGAAAGTACCCTTGAAGTACTTCTTAACAAGTACCTCCTAAACAATGACAATGAGAAATGTTCTTCCTACCTCCAACCCTTTTAATTGCAGTTTTGGTGTATACACAGCAGATCTACTTCGTGGGAAGGATTCTTCCTAAGCTGCAAATTGTGTGGAATACTGTATTCCTGGGACTTGAATAAACTGCATCCTTTTTATTATTCAACTCTCAAAACAGGAGAGGCATTAGAGAAGTACATACCTCTGCTCACTACTTTTTCTCATACCAGCCTTTGCCTGTGGATTCCACTCACTGGAATGCTTCTTGTGTGATTCCCATGGGTTTCAAAGGTATGATGAGAAGATTTTATCTTTATTACATCTTTCCTGCCATTCAAAACCTCCCAATCACTTCCTCCTTCTTTCTTGAGTAAACCTGGAACTTTATAAATCACTGTCTGAAGAGAAATACCAAGAGGGAAATAAGGACTAATAAAGACCACTGCAGTAATTTCAACAACAACAAAAAATTATTGGCAATTATATGGGTAAGAAAAGAGCAAAAATATATTTCTTTCAACTGATTTAAAATTCTGATACTTTTATTATATTGGGGAACCTGTTAAGCCCTCAGGGACAGATCCATTGCCCTCTGCCACAAACCTTAGCAGGTTCCACAGAGTAAAAAAAAAATGCAAATGGCCCAAAATTACTATTTCCAGTCAAGCGTTGTGAGTACCATAATGCTCTTTAAATGTAAACATGTGTTTCTCCTTTATTTTAAGAAAAGAGGTAGCAAAGCTGAGAAAGTGCTCTGTGATAATATTGATTTGGTTAGTGTTCACTGAAATTCAAAGCTTACAAATCTCCTGGGATATACAAGACTGGATTAATTCAGCAGTGACTAGTGATGCAGGGAAAGAGCCAGGAAGGTCCAGGTCTCCAGTCCAGTGACAGCTACAATCAGCTTACCTGCCTGAGAAGCAAAACACTTCAAGCTGACCAGTCACATATTTTCAAATATCAATTGAAAATGAAGTGCCTTCTCAAATTTTCTGTGCTGAAATGGCTGACCCCATTGTGAGTGATATTATCTTGGTTCAGTCAAGCAAAGAGGAGAAGGAAGTTGATTTTTCCCTCAAAATCACTGCTAGTACACTGACCTGTATTTTGAGTCACTAAGTCATTCACTGCATTAACAGGCATAGCTGTCTCTGTGCTGAAGCATGAGGTAGCCACACAACTACATCAAGCTGATGACAAAAATGAGTAGATACTTGTCACTGCCTCCCAGAATGGCTCAGTCTGGGTGCTGCTACTAGCAATTAGATATCCTTGTATCCAAGAGGAATGCATAGCTTGCTCCCATACTGCAAATCAAATGATGAGCAGTTTTAAATAATGACCTCAAGCTCCCAGTCCTCTACTCTCACCTTCTTTTGCAAAAAATTTTACCTCCTAATCATGGCCTGTTAATTAGTTACTTCATGTGAGAAGTAAGGCAGATGTCTGAAGCATAGTTTTAAAATGAGATAGGTGTGGAATTCAATCTAATGTGGTTTAGAAGTTTCTGATGAAAACTAGGACCCATCATTGGTCCTCTCAGCTCTTCATTGCCAGCTTCCTTGGCAACTAAAGCATAGTCATGGGCCAAGGAAACATCCACAGGGCACTGTAAATACCACATGATCTTCCAGCAATTCCCATCACTCACTTCTTGACACCTAAAGTCAACGGGGTTCAGCCAGCAGCTCTGGAGAGCAGTGCTCCTCTGCAAGCTGGGCACGGACTTCCCTCCAAGCCAGGGGTCTGCCTGTGTTAACAACAACACAGCTGCATGCTGTGAGAGCAGCTGGTGGCCAAGTGGGAGCCAATAAATAAGGATCTGTCCCCCCGTGGCAGAGGAATGTGACAGCGGGAGCGGGCAGAGCCAACGGCACCCGCGAGGATTCGTCTGCGCTACCCAGAGGTCAAGAATCAGTCACAGGTTACAGCCACAGCACGCTGCTGTCACCTTTAAAGTGAGATCCCCCACACTGCAAGAAAAAACACAATGAATTGGTCAAGACGATTTCTGCTTTTCACCATAGATACCTCCAAACCTGAGCCGTAACATCAATTATTTCAAACAATCCTTTGAGTGAGGATCTTTCAGGATATGGAATAACAAAAGAGCTGAGCAGGATTTTGACTGAGGCATTGAAAATATGCTAATTCCTTTAGCCAACTGATAGATTAAAACAGAAATGCAGACACAGAATTTACCTAATTCAAGGTATTTCCCTCAGTGAATATTTAAAAATCTTCACAAAAAATATCAAAATTATACTGAGGCTTGTTTCCTGAGTTTTGAGACTGGTTCTAAATTACACTTTAAAACGAATAATGAAATATTGCATTTATATTATATTCAGACTCAATTTTCTCTGGGTTCTTTTCTCTTTTTTTCTATAGTTTTCTGAATTCAAACATATTTCCTAAAATTTGCAGTCCGTTTACCACTCCATTCTCAAAAGATAATTTTAGAAATGAAGATTTGAATTTTTTTTTAAAGTTGCAATACTTGTAATGTAAAGACAATAACTAGCAACTCCATTAGAAGTACAAATGTAAATTTTCAGTGATCCTTCCAAAAACCCATGGTAGGTTCCCTATACACATCAAAGGCACAACTGTTTATGTTTATACTTTTTATTGGCAGATTTTAATAAGCTAACAAATATAGTAGACTGTAAAGACAATAAGAATGACCAATACAGAACTGCACATGCAGTGATAACTGTAAGTAAATGCACTTTAAACAGACTAGGGACAAAACAACTTATAAAGTGGTTCATTCAGGTCTGATTTGTACTGCTGCAATTAACTGGACACTGTCCCTTACAGGATTTTTTTTTTTAATTGTGAAAATACTATTTTCTTCTCACATTTGCCACCTTGAAATCTGAGAAAGAGCCATTAGCAGAAATATGCAGTTAATATTACCCTGAAAACTGAAAGCCAGGAAAGCCACAATGCACGGAAGCACTGACTTGTTAATACCTGGAGGACCCTGATTTGATTATGCCTCTTATCTCTTGTTTGTAACATATTTTGACTATATAGAACTGTACTTTTATTTTTTTTTTACCTGTGATTTCTTTCTTGTAGATGTGTAAAATACATTTATCATCTCTCACATTACATCCAGGTGTCTGATTTCAAGTTCTCCTATTCTGGTATTCCTCCCATCCTTCTTGTATTGCAAAGTTATGTGAAGACTTTCAATTCCTCGTATCCAGTGCTCTTCTCAGATTTCAATGGCAGCAAAAAGGCCATATTCTCAAAGCCATAAGACTATTTCTAGGTAAACTTTAAACTAAGATACGTCAGCAAGTTGGAACCATAAAATTAAATTACTTATCATTACATAATTTTCTTATCAGAAAAGGATAACCATTCATTGACAAATAGATATGATCAACATAAACTTGAATAGCAACAGATTTCTGGATTTATCTCAAAGGCTATCTTGTTTAAATGATCTTCAGAAATTTCTTCATAATGCAAGTAGAACTAAATGCCTGATACAAATTATTTCTTGCAAGTGTTTGCTTCGATTTTTAAACAAAATTGCTTCATTACTGCTTCTTACTTGTTTCTGTTCATTTACTATAGATATTCAAAGAAGAGTTGTATTTATGCTTAAAGGTAAAGCGGGACTAAAAGCATGTGGTCTTACCTCTTCTTCCCTTTTCTGTATAAACTGGATTAAACTTGTAGGGATTTCTCACAGGCATCTGACTCCAAAAAGAAGCTGTGGTCACTGTATGTAAAAGTATGAAAAGTGTGCCAAAGGGCTTTAAGGCTCCATATCCCAGTCTTAGTTTTCATCTTCTGAAATGTGAAGACAACTTCACAAGACAGCAAAGAGTTTTGTCACTTGAGTAGCAGGGCGTGGGGAGGAATTTGAAGCTCCATGGATGAATGTAAAGCCATCCTGAATTGGGTTTGTGTCAGCTCTAAAGCCAGGTTTCTCTACCAGACTGCAGTGAAAAAATTATGCTGAAATCTCATCCTCAGCCATCTGGGAATCTGCAGGGCTGTTCTCTATTGCTTGGGTGACTTGCATTTAAATCTGTCTCACCTGGGGGGAGAGGAGCTTTGGGGCTGCACTCCACAAATTGCTGCAGCTGCTGCTACTGGATGGTGCATCCTCCCTCTCTCCATTACCCTTCCACAACTGAGAGTCTGTCAGGCTGGATTCTGAGCAGGCTCTTCTTAGCAGTTTGTTGGATTTATTTTCTTCATAGAGCAGTGCTGCTATGATAGGTCATGGATAAGCCCTGATCTCTCATATAGTTGAATCTTGATGACACATAAATCAAATTCCAGACTCAAAATTCCATGTAATTACTACACAGGGATAATTTCTCAGTACAATACAATTTCAGTTAAGCAAAAAAGGCTGTGGCCAGATATAGGATGCAACTATAAGAAACTGCACCAATGAATGCATAAACTTCCTTCAGTTAATGGCTGGACATGACCAAGTCCAAAAGCTCAGGAGCATCCATTTCTTGGAGCTCAGACACCTGGATTGTCCATGGAGGTGCATGCTGAAAGAGACACGGTTGCTCACTGCTGTTGTTAGAAGGAATTTGTTTGATGTGAACTCTAAAAATAAGGAAATCCCAAACTCTAACTCTTTTTACAGGTTTCCTCTGATAACTGGCAACGTATGATGTTATGACACAATGTACTTTAACTGTGTCATGGTGAGAATTCCTGAGATTCCTGATAATAGCAGCTGGTTGTACTTAGGAAAGAAACACATCTTGTTTTCATTATTCACCACTAACTCTGGGGAGGAAGACAGCATCTTTCATACACTAACAATCGGTTCAAAATTAAATTCCTTGGAATAACTTATGTCAGTGTCTGACAAGGTAAGGTATGAAGGATACAGTTCTACCTTTAAAATTAATCATCCTTAAACAAAACAAAAATAATTAGATATCATACTGGTCTCCCAGACACTGTTAGTCTTCTACAGAAAAGAGAAAATTAAAATATTTTTAAACAGTTTAGAACCATACAGGGAAAAATCCATCTGGGGGGAAAACAAAACCAAACCATCACACAGCAAAAACATCCCAACTTTTATCTCTGACACTGGCAATCCCCCAGCTGGTCCTTTAAAACTTTGGATTCAGGAAGTCAGAGGTATTATGTGAAATGCAGCAATCCACAAGCAGTAACAAGGTCTTAGTGACTTGTGCAGACTTGTCTAAAGGTGTCAAGGAGATCAAATCCCAGAAATGTAGGCAGCCAGGGTCAAGGAAAAAGAAGTTTACAGTGTCAGCATGTGTCAAGCTTGCTCATCAAAGTTAATACTTTCTCCAATTACCTTTTCTCCTATAGATCTGCAAGAAATGTCCCTCCACTCTGGCCTCAAGGATAGTTGCTGAATTTGTGAAAGCATGTGACAGTCACTCTCACACAGCCTTGCTAAGCATTTAGAGTGCATTTTGTGACCTTGTGATGTGTGGAAGACACATAGAAAATGTGTTTGGGTCCAGCCTGCCTAAAATATACCTGTGCCTTTGGGGCTGGCTATTGGCTTGTGAAAGTCACAGCAGGGAAATTACATGCAGAAATGTAACCTTGGCTGATTATCTCATTAAGAATAAAAACTTAAAATCATGAAATAAAAAATTCTAGTCTTACTGCAATAAAACATTTGCAAATCAAACAACACACAAAGTATGAATATCACTGGATGATTTGGACATAATTTATAATTAACTTCTTGCTGGTAGCATTACCATATAAAATGAGACAACATGCAACACATTCAAGGCAACATCACTGTACACCCTAAAATTAAGAATTATAAAGATAGTTATCCTCAGAATAATTATATCAAAGTTTCACTGGCACTTTTGACAAGTCTGTGATAACACTTCAGCTTAATATAGTGACCAATTTAAACTAAACATTTATTTTACATATTGTGTAATATGTAATATGTTATGCAATATGGATTTAATAGTAGTTTAGATCTGTAATCTTGGTGGTTTTCATTCATCTAACTTTTTATTGTCATTTATCTAAACTATGTAAGCATTAAGACTGTAGGACTATGACCAGTATACTAAGGTCAAGTCTGTTAGAAAAAAACCACAAGTCTCTATATTAACAACTTTTTTGAAATGTATTAAGTGTGTGTAATTTCTAAACATTCCTTAGGAATGCAATTTCTCACTGCCATGAATTTCAATACAACTACTTGCAAATATTGTATGAGAGCAAAAGTGTTCAATAAACACAAGAATATTTGCAGTAATAAACTGAGAAGAGGCCTTTGATTGCAAAATACAGCCAATTAACCAGTGGAATAGATTGCCTAGTCAGTGGGGAGTATCTACTGCTGGTAGTCTTTAAGAGCAGGTAAAACAGGATTGATTCACATGGAGGTGGAGCTGACCCTGCCCTTTAACAGGGATCTCTCTTGCCTTGCGCTCCAGGATTGTCCTTCCACAGTTGATTGTTTCACTACACTCCTTCCTTGGCCAGACCCCTAATTTGTATTTAGCTTTCAGCTCATTCTTAAAGCCTCAGCCACCCTCACACTCCAGAAACCACACAGATTGACATAATGAACTGGTGTAATACTCCTATTCTGCATGTGCATTACTTTCTTTCACTTGCCTCTTCCTTATATTTTAGGGAGCATACACTCCCCTGTGTGCCTGCATGGACATGTGTAAATTCTAAGCACAGGTCCCATTCCTGATTAGCCTTAAAATGACCAAAATAAATGTTTGGTGGCACATGTTCCTTAATCAAGTTGTATGGGTACATCTCACAATGTCATCTCACAGCTATGACGCAGTAGGCAATAGCTGAGACTGTACAGTACACAGAGGTGACACATTTTTTTCTAAAATAAAAGCATGAGTAAATATCTAATAGCAACACAAACTTACATTATGTCATCAGTTTTGAAGAGGAAATTACTCCACAGATTAATGAGGAATTCTTCATGGAAGTCAAAGGTATGATGTAGTCTTATAGCATTAATCAAGAGCTAAATATGATCTGACCTACTTCAAACAGCCCAGCCTTTAACAGAGAGAAGATTAAAAAAAGGCAGAGTATAAGAGTCCATATTTATCTCTGATGTAACACCAACAAAGCCAACAGGATTCCTTGAAGTTCTGAGTGCCTCAGAGCACCACATGGCAAGTGCCACAGGTCATCCTGTAATCTGCAAGGTATGATGGATTGAAAAAGCAATGACATTTTCCGTTCCTATTTAGGAAACATTATATTAAGAAATAAGATATCACAGAACTCTATCTCAGAAAAAAATTATTACCATGCAACAATGGATGTATCAATTCATTAGACAATTTTACAAGTTTGAATATGAACTCACTCTAGGAAGTCCTCTGGAATGAACAAATCGTAAGATTTCCTAGAAAAACACAGTAAACATAATTATGCTGTATATAACTCTCTTGAAAAAGCAGTGAGAAAATAAATAGGTTATATTTTATTTTCTCAAAACCCTAAAATTTGGAGATGATTCATCCATCTGATCAAGTCAGACTTACTGTACTGATCCCCAGACATAGTGATTCCCTCTTCCCTGGTGCTGACACCAAACATGATAGTGTTCCCAGGCCCCCCTGAAGTTACGTTCTAAAGAGAGAGACATTAATAGATAATGACTGGGAAGAGAACACATAAATACCTTTTAAAAAATTAACAAACCTCGATTTCCTTGGACACATGAGCAATAAGAAAAAATCACCCAGTATCTTTTTAGGAAATACCTCTAAAATTGTCTCAGTCATAACTTGCTTCTGGCTTCACACTCCATGACAAGGGCCACTATTTTCTTGTGATGATGAGGAGTGTCCACTCTGGCCAAAGATCCTAGCCACTGACAGCCTTTCAAAATTAGCATTTTCAGTCACTCTGATCAGGACCTCTAACCCAAGTGCTGCATTTCCAAAAGAACAAGACCCTTGCCAACAAACTGGGAACTCAGCAGTCCCAGGGAGGGGGGACTAAAGAAGCTGTTACTTTCCCACTATTTCCAGAACAGGTCTGTGTCACACTGTTTACATCATGCATCATTCATCTGCTGTGATGAAATGTAACCCTGCGTTTAAAAAAAAGACTTCTGCAACAGTGAGGATACTCTATCTTTGTGAGAAGCATGTCACATATTTTCCATAGGCATCAACTGCTCCTGCTTCTATTTAAATCTGTGTGGCCCTCTTCAGAGGGCATTAGTCTCTTCAGGAAGCCCATTCAGAAGGTGCTGAGCAGAAGAGGAGGAGAAGGCAGGATGGCAGCAGACAGCAGCATGGCTCCCGAGGAAAAGCCGAGCGCTGCTCCTGTGAAAAGGGCTGTCCACAAGATCCGCATGGCCAGCCAGGTCTTCAGCTTGGCACGAGGCTGGCAGCAGTGGGCATCTGACCACCATGTAAAGCAAGAGCAAGAGCCCTCTGGATGGGTCCCCACTGCAGTGAACTCATCAGCTCAGCCTGTACAAGAAAGTTCCTTTGAAAAATGGCAAATTCCATCTGTCAAGAGGGACCAAGAAAAAGATGATGAAAAATCCTTAGCAAAGGATTCGGTGACAATAAGAGATGCTGGAAAAAAATCAAGTGAATCAGATGAAGACCTCGAAATGTTCAACATTAAAAGCAAAGAGGTGACCAAAACAGTTGTCAGCAAAGCCTATGAACGAGGAGGCGATGTCAGCCTCCTCAGTGAAAGATACGAGAACAACAACAGCAACTCTGAGATGACCAAACTCAAAGAAGAATCAAGTGCTATTGACAAAATTCTTAGCAACAAATTACCTTCAACCATAAGGAGGAAGTGTTCAAACGTGGTATCAGAGCTGACCAAGGGCTGGGAGAAGATGGAAGACGACGACAAAGATGGGGCCAAGGGAGAGCTGCTGCTGAAGTGTCGTGATGACAGCCTGGATGCCCAGGACAGTGGCTACGGGGAAGCAGAGGACAAGCTCGAGCAGGAGGACAGTGACCGGGAGGTGACAGCTGTGAGGATTAAACGGCCTGTCCCATCTCTGTAAGTAAAGCATCGTCATTACAGCAACATAAGTGGCTGAGGGGCACAGCTTTCCATGAGGAAAATGGGGGGCAGGATTAGTAGGAAGTGGTCAAAGATAAACTATTGTTCTTGATATAGAAGACATTAATCCAAATTCAGGAGACCTTTCACTTATCACTCCATGCTTAAGTAGTTACTCAACATAGACTATGTACCTAATACAAAAAGTTAGGAAGTTATATTTGGGAGATGTTAATTATAATTAATTTTCACAATGGATTTACCAGTTCATCAAAATAACTACTTATTTCTTAATACTTCAGTCCATATTTCAGAAGCACAACTTTTACCTCATCAAGAGCTGTCAGCTACTCATTTATTTCAGCAAATGTTGTCTAAATCAATATATTTGAAAAGCAATATTGCCAAATACTTATTCATTATTTTGCTTAGTATAAATTGTAAATACTCTCAGGAGCAATTTGAAGAGAATGTCCCAAATTAATATTGCAGGAATTACTTCCACATACTTCTTACTAAAAGTTGGGTTCACAAGCTTCTTTGGAAACTTTCCATTTGATTTCCATTTCCATTTGGAAATGGAAAATGGAAAAGCTTCTATTGGAAGCTTTCAATTTGATTTCCATTTCCAGTTGATGAATTTGGAAGTCATCAATTCAAAGAAAGGAAAATTCCACAGTATATTGGACCCCAAGTTCATACCATATCCCAATCATATGTTCAGAAATTAAAAACTGACTATGAAAAACTGATGAAAATACCAAAACATTTTGACAAGGACTTTGTGATCCCTGTGCAGACAGGCAGGCAGGCTGTATCATGGTCACTATTTTGGTTTTACACCTCACTACTGATGAGCATTATTGTTACCATTAGACTGTGACTAACACAGTTATGGATTTCAACCATGCAGTACCTTTTAGCACAGCTATCTGAACACGCACCCCCACAGCTACTTTAACTATTCAAATGGAATTAGAATGATGCTTTGCTGTACAGCTGAGCAGTCAGGTCCTGTAAGAAGAAATGGTTAACAGCCCAAGTGAAAAAAGCTCCCCAGTAACCCAGGGCTTGAAAGTTTTTGGTACCTTGGTTTTGTCAAGGACTGTGTGCACCATCCTTTCACCATCAAGGACTGTGTGCACCATCCTGAAGTTATGACCTCAAACCAAAGATACCAAATATACAGTGTAAAAAAAGATACATTTGCAGCACTTATCTCTGAACAACTTCAATTTAAACAAATTTTCTGTTTCAAACGTTATAGCAGAAACACTCCAACTATCTAGCTTCTGTTAAACTGTTCTTATATTTTCCTCATATGTCTAATTTTAGTGCTGTTACCGTGAAAAAAGATTGATTAGCCATATTTACTGTGGTCCAAATTATTGAAATAACAACCTCTATGATACTTATAGCTCTTTCTTCCACTGAAATCAAACATTCAGAATGCATTACAGTGCTGCTATCAGTACTGAACTTTTTTAACTATTCATTTTTTAAATTTTACTTTACAGCCTCAGAATATTTTAGCCTGCTACCTTTATGAACTTTTCAGTGTGGTTTAATCTTCTTCAAAAAGGCCATAAGTACACAGTTGCTAAAGCATGTCTCCCATTTTTCTCTCCACATTCCAGGAAAAAAGCATCAGTGCAAGTATTTTGTTTTCCTCAGATCAGCACCTTCATTATTTCCAGCTTCACTGCTTACTGGAATAAGGTTGTTTCCTTAGTAGAAGGCCTGTTGACTCCTACTGGCATAAGAGACATTCTTCTGTTCATGTTTAGAAGCAAAAAGGATGCAACAGAAGGGATATGAAACGCAAAAATTAAAATGGGATTCATACCTTTCCCCTACAGACAGAAATAGGGCAAATATGCAACATGGACATTATTTGCCTAGAAGGTCAGAATGCATTTAGGATGGTCATTCTGGTTAACAGGTTAATTTAGTTGATTGTTGCATATAAATCACTTCTACAGTGCGTAGAAGTTCAAAACTTTGACTTTGGGTGCACAATCCTTCGTGTAGGTGCAGTAGAAACATGAAAAATATGCTTCTATGTGTAAACAATTCACATTTTAACCTGTCATTAAGCTAAACAATGGCAAAAAAGTACTTCAGCAACTAGAAATGGTTAAATTACAAGCTGCATTGGAAAAGTTAGGTTTTTTCAAGCCCACATGAGGCACGATAAAAGCAAAAGGACAGATAAGATGGTTTTTTCAACTACTGAGAAGATGATTTGGATGAGGAAGGGAATAATAATATTCTGCTAAAAAGGAAAATTAGTTTCAGTAGAAAAAGGAGGGAATACATTCTAGACGGTTATATTAAAGTAAGTAACAAAGACTGCACAGCCTCCTGCTGTCTCAGTCGCTCTCTTCACTCAGCCTGGGGAACCGAAGCTCTAGGACTTTCTCAGTGCTCATAGTCCCTGGAGAGAAGGGGAAACAGGCTGTGCTGTGAGTTCCTCCTGTGGCTGAGGAATAAGCCTTCCATGATGATATCTACTCAAACTCCACTGAGACTGATGGCATCAGTTCTTCAAGGCAATTTTGATTCACTTAGGATTTTTTTTCTCCCTGCCTTAACTGATAGCTTCCACGTGGAGAGCTAGTGAAGCAATCTGAGCTTCATCTGGAGTTCAGACTGTGCTGGCACAGGGTTTCTGTACCCTTTGAGATAGCCATAGGCTTCAGGATACAAATTCCTTTGCAGAGCCAAACCCTGTGCCCACAGTTCCTCTGACAATGAAGGCACAATTCAGGTGAAGGGACAAAGGATCATAGCTCTCCCTTTTTCTGTATGACAATAGCTTATATAGAGCAGCATTTGGTTTATTGCTGGGAAACCAAATTGTTTAGATTTACCCCACTAGTATATTTTAATGCTCTCTGCCAACACCTACCTGTTAGTCATTTACACAAAATTACAGGTACAGACACGCTACCTACTCTCAGGTGTAGTCACACCACAGAAGAAAGGTGCACTTTTCTTGGCAACTCAGTATGCTCAACTCTTCTGATGGTTTTTCACCAAATTGATAGGGAAGAGTATTTTGGAGCTTTTTAAACACAGTTCCTCACTACAGTGAAGCAATCTTAGGGCAACTCCACAGCTAATAAAGTAGTGCAGGTCTCCTAGTTCTTTTCCTATCCCTGGCACTTGGTGTTTGCAATTCTTACCCTAGCACAGCCCTGCCCAATAGTGGCATCTTTCTGCTGCACCCATGTGAACTAGGGACATCTCTATGACTCCTATTGTCTATTTCAACCAGCTTAGTAGAAAACAAAGATATGTTCAAACAACAGGGGAACAGAATCTTCTGCAACTTTGCAGCCCTGTGTGCTGTTTGCTAAGTGCATTTTGATTTTCTGGTATTAATATTCAGCTGACATTACTGGGGAGGTTGCAGAGCAGCCTTTTGGGGAGTAAAAATATAAGAAAACAAATTACTTTGGCATAGTCACAGAACAGCATAGTCCCAGCAGAGTTCAGTACATATACATTGACAGGACGTGGACAGCACAATGACTAGCTCCGACTGTCTATAGCTCCCCCACAACATGTGAGATTGGCCACAAGAGGACAGAATGTCTGTCTGCAGTCATCCAGAACTATTACACACATTAAAAAAAGAAAAAATAGATCTCTGAAGGTCTTTCCTTATCCTTTGTCCTTGACACTTTCAGGCTTCTACCCTACCCACAGGAATGTGAATTCTGGACTTCAATATTTGTTCAGATTTATACTCCACAAACAGAAGCATAGACAGAGCTAGGACACTCAATTAGCTTTTGTTGTTGCTATAATCATTGACATCTATTACAGAGGACAGATTTTTCCAGGCACTACCCTCTAGTTTTCAGCCAGGTCATACACCTACAGCAATCAGCACCTCCAACTTCAGGGCAGGCACACTTCAGGCTTGGCCAAGCAGGCAGGAATGGGGAACTGTGTGCCTGATCAAAGATACAGAAAGCACAGGTGATCAGCAAGTTATTGTTTTGTTCCCTTACAGAATTAAGTCATTCTGGGACAAAGTTTGTGC